TAAAACATTAATGTCTGAAGACCATCACGTCCTAATTATTTATTGGCATTCATGTACTACACATTGAGGATAATACCATACATGAAAATCCAAAGATATACTCTATCATGTCATTGATCATTTCTTTAATGTAGTATCCATCACATAATAAATGAGTGTTTGAGGCAAATATAAGTACGGTTAAAGTATTTAGATAAATACAAAAATGTTTGGTTATGCAGAAGTGTACATTTAAAATGAACGTACACATGGAAGTTCTGTGCATTGACATGACTGGATTGCTTTAATTATAATCTTAACACCATTCTTCTAATAAAAGAACACTGTTGACTATGAGACTGCTTTTAACAAACATGATGACTATCCCCTCATCATCCTATGAAATAAAATGTCTGCAATTACTGTCCAGATTCATTTCTGAAAATGTAAGTCATACAAAATATTAGGCCAGGAAAGTGATACAAGTTCTTCAAAAATTTGATTCTGCTTAACCTTACTGTAAATGCAACACATCAATTTTCAAAGTAAACTGTTACTTTGTATGGATCATGAACTATAAAGTATTTAGCAAGTATGAATACAAAGCCAAACTCATTGATTGCTTACAATAGTCATATTTCCAGTATTTGAAAGTAGTTTTAAAATGTTGTAAAAGTCATTATAATTTACAAAAAATTATTCTAATATAAAAGCACATTTATGTTCTGTTTATGTACTATGAAAATAACGATAAACTATTGGACCATTTCGAATTTTAATTCATAAAATTGAACCGTATTCATTTGAATATGTGTTAAATCATATCTTCAAATACATTATTAAAATGTTTTCTTAATCATATATTCTTGTTTCTTCAAGCATCCATTCAACTACATTTAAGTGACTGAATAACATTTAATCAGTAGGTCCTCAAACAAAATTGAATTGCTACTCATGAAATCTGACAATGTTACTTTTATACAGACAGGTAGATAAAAAGAGAACACTAAAATGTGTTGGTTGATCTTCATACTTTCATAGTGAAACCAATTTTTTATTTTGTATTTTGCTGCTACATTAAAGTTTGGGGAATTTAGTAAGGAAAATCCATTGTGTAAGAGTGAGAATTTTAGACATTTGCTTTCTGAATCTGCCTGCTCTCTCTCATATTAAAACCTCCAAGTTTTCTTGTGCAAGAAATTAAACAAAAATCACAGTACTTTATCTGCAAAAGCAAAAATCTACAACAAGAGAATAAATTTTCCCATTTGGTTTTGAGTGTTTTTTGTCATCATTTTCTTAATAATCTTCAAAATAATTTCCCTAAATCAATTTCTGAAGTTAAAGGGCATGAAAGAAAAATATTGTACAGCCCTTTGAAACTGCAGTGATGTAAAGCTTGACTTATCTAATAGAATAATGAATGGTCAAAAGTTTTAGTCTTCCTATTCTCTAGTAGTTGAGTCAGATAATATTTCCCAACTTCTTTTCTGGGAAGACAACTTTGAATATTTCAATAATTGGCTAACAACAAAATAGTTAATTTAAGGACTGATAGAGTTCTTGCTGTGACTTTCAGTACCATCAAAGAAATAATCATGTATATATTTTACTCATTCATTTTTCTTCGTGCACATTAATAAAAATGTGCACCGAACCTAATCAAAATGCTTCTTAGTGGCAATATGTTAAGGTCCTTGAAAATGACCAATTTGAAAATAGACCATTTTGTGTGTTCTGGGATAGTGTTGGAAGCATTCCAAATTAAAATACCCTAAGTCATGACTTGTACTCTTCCCCACATATTCGACAGAGAGGGGACGAAATGTTTATTATACAGGAAAAGAAAATTACCAATGACACCATTACAAATAGGCCTTCCATTCAACAATACGTTATGAAAATTTATCCATCGAGAGATGAAGATGAATCTCTTCTTTCAACTAAGAACAGTATGTGAGAGTTTCCACTCATTGAACATGTAATTTTTCCCTTGCATTTCCCTCCCCCAGCTAGTTAGAGGGATTAAGAAGTCATGAGTCCTGAAGGACAATCCTCTTTAGCCAGGTCTCCATTGGTATGTCACTCATCTTCTTTGGGCATCTCTATAAGCGCTTCTGCTCCATCTTTTCCTTCCTCTCATGGCATCATTCTGCTCTTTTCCTACATTTTTTCTCTCTTACAGGCCTCATGTCCCATCTACCTTATTTTTTCTCTCTTGGACCTTCTTCGTATTTACATCCCTCACATTTCTTTTCACTGAATAGAAAAGTCATAGAAATAATGTTGATCTAAACACTAATTTCACTAAAAAATTCAGACTTTTGGAATGATTTAAAGTATACATTTCTGTAAATAATGTTACTTAAGGGTATAAAGCATCTACTATAAGCATTATCATATGTTATTATTTTTAACAGCATGATTATGAGGGCATTTTACATCAGTAAAATTTGATAATATTATTTTATCATTAATTAGATTTTTCCCAGAAATTGTGTTTTTCCTACCTAAAAATTCCAATATAGGTGTATATATAGTAATATTCCTCATCTTCATTCATGGACTGCATTCACAGAATAATAAATAAATAAATTTTTACAATTATATACTCACAATTATAGAAAGTGCACGCAATAAATAAAATACTCATAAAGAAAAGAAAATGCAATAGAAGGCCCATGCATCATATCACAAATATATTTCTCCTACATATTTAATATTTCTCTATCACCTTTATACACACACGTATGCAAAAGTAATTCAAATCTTAAAAGTTAATGCAAATGCTGTGATAAGGAGTAAATTAAACCTAATTATATTAAAACAATAACCTAAAAGCAGATTGTGTAACAGGATCCAAAAATTGTAAAGACCACCTGCCTCTGGATACAAAGTAATTTATCATTTTTCCCTTTAGTAAGTGGCTCTAATAAAAATCAATTAAAGAAAAGTTTCTATTTATAGAGGAAACATCAAAATCACATTGAAATACTAATCTATTTATTTTTAAATGAAAGTCTTGGATTTTCCTCAAGAATGCATAAACTAATGCATTAGTTTATGCTTATTAAGGAAGACAGAATTTCCTAAGTGTAATAATTGTTCCACTTTCAGAATGGGCATTTGTAAGAGAAGGGAGGGGAGGAAGGGAGAGAGGCAAGAGAACAGGGAGGGGGAGAAAGAGAGATGGGTAAATAAGAGGATAGGTTTTCATGACTGTAATTATTTAAATGTGAACGTTTTTGAAGGACAACAAGTGAATTAGATGGCCCCCATCTGAGGTCCTTTGTAACCCTTTGAGTTTGTGTATTAGTAAAAGGCTTTGTGGTCAAAATAAAATTTTCTTTCTACTCTTACAACCCATAATTGGTTGTTTTATTGAGGGAGCCGTTATCCTTTGTGTTATAAGGCCATCTACCTTCTTTAAGAAAAGCTGATTTAGTAAACCAGGTTTGTAAGCCCTAAATATGAATCAGATAGGAGTTCTCATAGGAACAGGCTTCTGTTTAATTGCTTGAACACAGAACACTGCTCAAAGAGAAAAAGAAAACGTTCCCTTGTAAGTTCTGTAGCATTATCTTAGCAGTAAGCAACAGTTTGTCTACAAGTTGTCAGTATACTTCAACTATACATAGAAATTTGAGTTTTACAACAGATGTGGCAACTGAGTTACAGTTTTAGTGCATAGACCCAGATATCTTATGATTTACAGTTGCATTTTGAGAAAGCGTACCTCGGCAGAAGTTTTTTGCAAAATGACAGTTATGTACTGTTTCACAACAAAACCCTTTGCTCCTTTTGACCTGGTGATGGTGATTTTTTTGGTTTGTATGACAATCCCATGTACCAAATGTATGCTTCCTGAGATATTACCAGATTGGAGATGAAATAAATACTAAGAAGACTAATTTATAGGTGTTTAAAAAGTCAAATAACCTTGATATAGTTTCTCCCCTCCCCCTCCTCTTTTACTCAGAAACACTGGACACAATTTGCTTCTCATACGCAAACGGACATTCATTCCCCAATGTACTTCTAAACTGTTACATGAAGGAGGTACACTTACAACCAGGGAAGCTGGCCATCATCATTTAAGGAATCCTCTCTTTGGGGGAATGGGATCCTTCAAACTGTTTTCCTGGGAGGAAGAGCTGAGAGCATCCTCTATAGAAAACCTCCCAACTTCTACACCAACCCCCAACCCAGTCCAACCCAGTCCCAGCCCCAGCGTTTCATGCCCCACATTGGCTTCTGCATATAACCCAAAAGGGACGATCCCAGGAAAGTGATATCTGTCGTTGTCCTTTTAAAAAAATAGGATCCATCGACTTTCCTGTATCGTGTACTGGGGAGCTTTGCGCAGCAGGCATGAGCAAACGTCCTCACACACACCTGCACACACACATACACACACAAGCACCACTACCACCACCACCACCAGCACCACCACACACCCCACGCACTCTCACAACAAACACACGGGATGGGGATCGAATCACCCTCTGGGATGGATTGTATACTTCCGACCCCCTGTATCCCCCAAATGCTGTGTTCTGGGTTGCCAGCTTAGGAGCCCAGTTTACAGCTCAGCCAGTCCCCCGAGAAAGCCCTTGGTGCCTTGGTGTCCGTGTTCAGGAGAAAACCTATCCGACCCGTACGGCCACAAAAGAGCAGGGGGAAAAAAACAAAAACCTAAATAGAGAAATTAACGAATAACCACAAGCAGCCAAAAAGCCATGCAAGATAAGGGCGAAAGGCTGGAAAGTTTCAGTAGAGGACTGCAAACTGAAGTTTGTGCGGGACTATTTTAGACCCAAGCCCTACCACTGAGCGCGAACTAGAAGAGACCCGCAATTAATGAGTCCTTCTAGTCCCCTTTCCCCACCGATTTTCAGAGTGAAGAGTAGAGGCAAGCTAATTAAGACTCACACTCTACAGACAAAGTTGGGTGAGGGTGATGAAACATGCAGAAGAAGGCAAAGGGGTAAGAGAAGCGAGTTAGCCAAGAAACGAGTGTCTCACCTGGCATTGGTGCAATCGGTGAACAAAGTTTCGAAGTCTTTCCTGGTGATAAGTTTGCAGCGGTTCACCCCGGGCTGGATGGCCCCCAGCCCGCGGAGGATCCGGACCTGCTCGACAGTACACACCACGGGGGATATGTCCAGTCTCTTCAGCTTGGTGTATACCGTGTGCAACCCGCCCACTAGGTGCTTGAGGAAAAGATCAAAGACTTGCGGCAGGCAGATCAGTTCCTGGCCGTCCATCAGGAACGAAGCCACCTTCACTCCGTGCATGTCCACCATCCGACACTCGTTGGTGTTGGTGTTGCCGCCGCCGCCGCCGCCACTACCAACCCCGCCAACCCCGGAGCTGCCGCTGTGGTTATTGGCCATGAAACTGTTGATCATATGGGGGGTGAGACGAGGGGGCTCTCCGGGAGTCGAATACAGGGGTTCAGCACGAAATAAACCCCCCGGGACGCCGGCGCCACTGGAAGTTGCGGAGATCACCGGAGGTGAGGAGACAGCCATGGTCACTCCGTCTCACTAGTGGGTCCTCTAGCCCTCGCTTTCTCGCCCTGTCTCTTCTAGGTCCCCTCGCACTCACTCCCCTCACTCTGGCCCCCTCTCTGGTGCGCTCTCGTTTGCTCCAAACTGTTCGCAAGTCTCCAGCAGCTGGGATCACACTCAAGCTCACCCACCACCCAACAAACAGTGAGCAGCCCCGACCCGCGGCGGCCGGAGACCCCACCCCCACCACACCCCCTCCCGAGACTGGCAGCGCCCCCCAGCCAATGGGCCCCACCCTTCGGCGCCCAAGCGCGCCGAATGGCTGCCGCCGGCGAGGAGGTGGAGACTCCCTGGCCGGCCTCCGACTACCTGAGGTAGTTCAGGGCTCGCCAGTGAATGGAGATGGAGCCCTAGAAGGGGGCGGTGTGGTGCCTCCCCTTTTTGCCTCGGAGTCTAACGAGAGAAGATCCCATTGTCACGGAGAGCTTTCAAAGTGGCCTACGCTACGAACCCATCCCCTCCAAGCCCTACGAGTGTCGGGGAAGGAACACAAAGCGGAATTCCTGAACGTGCCTCCCCATCCCCCTCCGGCCACACTGCACCCGGGTTCAATCGAGGAAAGTGCGGTGGCAGCTCCAATTCCATTTACACATTGCTCCCAAACTCTGCGTGGGCTAATGGGTAACTTCGCCCAGCTTCCAGGAGAAAGATTCGCCTGAGTTCAGAAGTAAACAGCTCAGCCCTTCTCCAGCCCACCTAGCGCGCTTGCTGTAATTCCTCACATATCCAGAGCACACAGCAACTAGCGTCCGAGATCGCACTCAGATAAGAGTTGCTGGTTGCTAACCCGCTCCCACGCACTGACATTCAGGAAGCTCGGTGAGCCTGTGAACACTTTGGAAACCAGAGACTTGGTTTGTGGGTGGCAGATGGACGCCTCATTTTACAGCACTTCCACCACTGTCCTGGAACAGACATGCATTTCTGTGTCTCCATTTCTCTGTCTCAGGATTGCCCTGCCCTACCTCCGCTAAAATTGATAGGGAAGGCTCCTTTATGACTCAAAACAATCATTACAGAATATGAGGGAAGAGCGAGAGTTTGCACTCTTGAGTGTTGCATTTTCCTCCCTCGCCTATGGGCTTTGAAGGTCCAGTGATTAGAACCCCATGTCCTAAATGGTACATCAAGATTTCTCTTTCCTCACTTGTCATGTGCCCCAAAAGTACTACAAGAGCTCATAATGAGCAAAATGTGCAAGCAGTGTACATTCCAGGGGAAAGGTATGGTCTTTCACACACAGCGTATGGTGGTTAGATCACCCACTGTAGCAAAGTTGTTTTAAGTCTACTTGTCAAGGTTTTAATTCTCTGAAATGAAGGTATTTTCTTTCCTGTGCTCCTCTCCTCTAGAGGCTGGTAGTTATTCAGAAGGTGAAATCCAGGTTTCATTTCCTTACAAAACATGACCAACTACATAGCCAAGGCAACTTCTCTAATGTTCTTCCAGAATGTAAATAATTTTAGAAACTCACTGAATATTATTCGGCCCTCCTTGTACTTAGCAGAATCAAAGAGGAGAAGTGGGTTGGCTCTTTTTGCTCCCTTAATAAGTCATAAATGTCCTAAGTTGGGTTTCTCTTCCTCTTTTTACAACATTTTTCTCCTTTTATCATTTCATCAGCCAAGTATTAAAAACTTCCCTTTGAATCTCTTCATACTGTTTTAATTCATACTGTTCGAATTATATGGGGTCGAAATGCTAAGAAGTTGTGATGATAGTTACTTGTGAAGTATATGGTGATAAGTGACTCTAACGCAATAGACTGGAATGTGTGCAGCCACAAAACATTTTTAAAAGACATCGAAATTCTTTTGCTATGTTGGTGCTATTGTGGGAAGAAAATAAGAAGGGGCCAAAAGGGACAATTGAGAAGAGACAGCAGAGGCAGAAAAAGATTCAACAAAAAGTAGAGGTTTAAAAAAAAAAAAAAAAAAAAAGATTAGAATGGCACTGACAGAAATGATTGTATTCACCAGTATTTTAAAAAGAGAAATCCCAAATTGTATTCAACAGGTGTTTTGACAGAAATAGCTATTAAACTATGTGTTGAAATAAATTGCCTCTGATAATTTATTGTGATTGAAATTTCCGGGTGAATAAGTTTGACTGCAAAGAAAAGTTTTATTTTGAAATGTCTCTAATTTCATTAAAAATCCTAAGGCCGAGCTACTCCCTGTATATGGCTGCACCTACATTATCAAGGCCTTTTTATTTGTAGAATGATTTGGGGTTTTCAGCAACAGGACATTACACAGATGTTTTGATGTTTCAAATTTAAGAAATTCTGAAATATGAAAAGGAAAGGCAGAACATTCATTGAGGCTGTAATCATTATTTGTGATATTGAAAAACAAACATACTCTGACGATTTTAGAAGAGGCATGAGTTAAATGTCTTATATTTAATGTGATCTAACAGGTTTGTGGTAATATTTTAATTATTACCAGAGGTTAAAGTTCACATTCTAGTAGAAATACTAGAGATCATTGGCCATTGATAACTGAAGGGTTAAAGTCCCTTGGAAGATTTCAATACACAAAAACCCCTAGCCTTCATTACTTGAATTCCTTCTCTTTGCAGTCTTCTAGAAAATAAACTTGGTAATTTTCTTAAGTGATACTTGTAATTTAAAGATTTACTCATTTAGATCTAAGAGGCCAGGTGTTGTCCCCTTGGGCTTTCTTGATCTTTTGATTACTCTATTTCTAATGCTATTTCTAATATTTATTATTATTATTATTATTTTATTATTATTATTATTATTAACTATGCTTTGAGATTGAAGCAATCAAATTCCATTGAGAGTTTGTTTTTATCCCTTTCTGACTTTAATGCTTTCCATAAACCAAACATATTTCTAAATAGGCCTGGGTTCCTACAAGGCCAGAGGAAGCCTTGCACATCAACACCCTGTAAGTTTGGAATTGCATGAAGCAATATAAAATCATAAAGGCTGCAGTAAACAGAGTACCCTTGGGAGATGACTCTCCATGGAGAGAAGCACTGCATTAAAACTAAGGAAACACTCAAGGTTTGCGAATTAATATGGGACAGGAACCAACTACCGCAGCAAATAAGAACAAAATTAGTACAAGTGGATACTGTATCTTATCAGAACAAGAAGTTCTAGATGCCACTAACTCCAGTGGAAAGATTTGGTGCCTACATATATATTCTCATACACTGAAATGCTGTAAACTGCTTGGATTTTATTAGTAATTTACATTGCCTCCTAATTCATACACAATTTAGAGGGAAGGGTGCTCATCTGTGACATGAGGAAAAATATTCCACTTTGACATTGTCAGTGAAATCTAGGCCCCATTTTAAAAATATATATTGGCAAGCATGTTTTGCAGGACTGCAAAATATTCAGAACTATTTGAGGGAGCTGGTTTTCAGAATGGGCATTCAAGCAAATCCCAAGGTTAATAAATGGAATTATTTGAAACCTTCAGCCAACTGAGGTTACAACCTCTAATACGGCCTCTAATCAGAACCTCCCAGGAGCCCTCTAAGGCTCATTTTTAGGCAAACAGTAAAAAGAAATTGATTGGGCAAGGCAATAAATGTGAAATGAAAGCATTCATATAACTAAGAATTTAACTGGCTAAAGCCTATAGGCATATTCCACTCCATGTATTCCTAGAAAACTGGCTATAAAATGATCTATAATATAATTTTTTTCCTCATTCAGTCACAAAATTAAATTAAAGATGAGTTCCAAGGGCGAGAAATGTGGAGAAGAGAACCACTGGAGTGAAAGGAAAATTGGTCAAAACCCAAGGAGTCACAGTTAAAATCAGATGCTTAAAGGAAAAATGAACACTTTCTAACTGAAATATAAAAAACAAATTCTCAGAGTACCTCATAAAGTATAAGCATTTACCAGCTTTTAACATATGATCCCAATACTGCACTGTCCTATGGGACAAAGATACATGGTCTCTTTAAACTCCATCTATGTCTCTCAATGTATTGTTCTCTTTCAAATTTTAGGCTTTTAACTGTTCATATTCAAGCTGTTCTAACTTCAGCTGGACTCCCACTGCTACTTAGTACCCTTTTATTCATTTTGTTGACTCCCTATTGAATTCCCTGTAGCAACTACTCCAACTTTTTCTATTCTTTGCAAACCACCCTTCTCCTCACTCTTATCAGCTATTGCCTCCCACTTCTTTTTTTTTTTTTTTTCCTTTTTGTCTTTTTTCGTGACCGGCAACGGATCACAACCCTCAGTGTCGCGCCCGTACCGGACC